ACTATGAAACTAGAAACTAACCACAAGAAAAAAGTCTGGAAAGAACACATATACATGGAGGTTAAGTAACATTACTACACAATGAATGGGTCAACCAAGAAATCAAAGAGGAAATAAAAAAATTTAGGAGACAAATGAAAATGAAAACACAATGATACTAAATCTTTGGGATGTACAAAAAGCTGTTCTAAGAGGAAGTTTATAGCAATATAGGCCTGCCTCAAGAAGCAAGACAAATCACAAACAATGTAACTTTACACCTAAAGGAGCTAGGGAAAAAAAAAAAACCCCAAAACCTAAAACCAGCAGAAAGAAGGAAATAACAAAGATTAGAGCAGAAAAAAAGAAAGAGCAGAAAATTAGAAAACCAACAGCTCAGGAGATGGTTCTTTGAAAAGATGAACACAATTGAAAAATCTCTAGCCAGACACATCAAAAATAAAAAATAGTGGACTCAAACTCAAATATGAAAGAGGAAAAATAACTGATACCACAGAAATAAAAATTAGAATATCATGAAAAATTATATGCCAACAAGTGGGACAACCTTGAAGAAATTAGATAAATTCCTGGAAACATATAACCTCCCAAAACTGAGTCAGGAAGAAATAGAAAAAAAATTTAAAAAAATTTTTTTAAAAATTTATTTGACAGAGATCACAAGTAGGCAGAAAGGCAGGCAGAGAGAGAGGAGGAAGCAGGCTCCCTACTGAGCAGAGAACCCGACGCGGGGCTTGATCCCAGGACCCTGGGACCATGACCTGAGCTGAAGGCAGAGGCTTTAACCCACTGAGCCACCAGGCGCCCCCAAAATAGAAAATTTGAACGGACCAGTTACCAGCAACAAAATTGAATCAATAATCAAAAAAACTCCCAACAAAAGTCCAGGACCAAAGAGCTTCATAGGTAAATTCTATTGAATGTTTAAAGAAGAGCTAATACTTATTCTTCTCAAACTCTTCCAACGAATAGAAGAAGAAGGAAAGCTTCCAAATTCATTCTCTGAAGTCCTCATTACCATGATATCAAAATCAGATAAAGACACCATCAAAAAAGAGAACTACAGGCCAATATCCCTGATGAACATTCATGCAAAAATCCACAACAAAATACTGGCAAACCAAATTCAACAATACATTAAAAAAATCACTCACCACGATCAAATAGGATTTATTCCCAGAATGCAAAGGTGGTTCGTATTTGTAGGTCAATCAACATGATACATCACATCAATAATAGAAAGGATAAAAACCATATGATCATTTCAAAAGATGCAGGAAAAAGCATTTGACAGAGTGCAATATCCATTCATGATAAAATGCTCAGTAAGGTTTAGAGGAAACATACCTCAACATAATAAAGGCCACACATGAAAAACCCACAGCTAACTTCATACTTGGTGGTGAAAAACAGAGTTGTTCCCCTGAGATCAGAAACAAGACAAGGATGTCCACTCTCACCACTTTTATTCAACACAGTACTGGAAATCCTAGCCTGAGCAATCAGACAAGAAAAAGAAATGAAAAGCATCCAAATTGGTAAGGAAGAAGTAAAACTTTCATTATTTGCAGATGATATAATTCTAAATATAGAGAACCCTAAAGACTCCACCAAAAAACTACTAGAACTGATAAATAAATTCAGTAATGTCGCAGGATACTAAATCAATATACAGAAAAACACTGCATTTCTATACACTAATAATGAGTTAACAAAAAGAGAAATTAACAATCCCACTTACAATTGCACCAAAAATGATAAAATACCTAGGAATGAACTTAACCAAGTATGTGAAAGATCTATACCCTGAAAACTATAAAACACTGATGAAAGAAATTGAAGATGACACAAACATGGCAAGATATTTCATGCTCATGGACTGGGACAAAAAATATTGTTAAAATGTCCATATTACCCAAAGCAATCTACAGATTTAATGCAATCCCTATCAAAATACCAACAACATTTTCTACAGAACGAAGACAATCTTAAAATTTGTATAGAGCCACAAAAGACCCTGAATAGTAAAAACAATCTTGAAAAAGAAGAACAAAACTGGAGGAATCACAATGCCAGATTTCAGTTACACTACAAAGCCGTAGTAATCAAAACAGTATGGTACTGGCACAAAAACAGACACACAGATCAGTGGAACAGAAGAGAGACACCAGAAATCAACCTATGATATGATCTATTGATCTTCAGTACAGGAGGCAAGAATGCACAATGGGAAAGAGTCTCTTCAACAAATGTTACTGGGAAAACTGGACAACTACATGCAAAAGAATAAAGGTGGCCCACTTTCTTACACTATATACAAAATAAACTTAAAATGGATTAAGGACTTAAATATCAGACCTAAAACCATAAAAATCCTAGAAGAAAGTACAGGCAGTAATTTCTCTGACATCGGCCACAGCAACATTTTTCTAGATGTCTCCTGAGGCAAAGGAAACAAAGCAGAAATAACTACTGGGACTACATCGACATAAAAACCTTCTGCACAGCAAAGGAAACAATCCACAAAATTAAAAGACAGCCTACTGAATGGGAAAAGATAGCTGCAAATGACATATCCCATAAAGAGTTAGTATCCAATATATGTAAAGAACTTTTAGGGGCCGCCTGGGTAGCTCAGTCAGTGAAGCATCTGCCTTTGGCTCAGGTCATGATCCCTGGGTCCTGGGATCGAGCCCTGCATTGGGCTCCCTGCTAGGTGGAGAGTTGTCTTCTCCCTCTGCCTTTCCCCCTGCTCATGCTCTCTCTCTCTCAAATAAATAAATGAAATTAAAAAACAAAACAAAACAAAAAAAAACAAAACTTTTACAACTCAACACCAAAACCTCCCAATAATCCAGTTAAAAACTGGTATAAGACATCAAAGACATTTCTCCAAATGAGATACACAAATGGCCAACAGACACATGAAAAGATGTTCAACATCATTCATCATTAGGGAAATGCAAATCGAAATCACAGTGAGATATCACCTCAAACCTGTCAGAATGGCTAAAATCAAAATCATAAGAAACAAGTGTTGGTGAGGATGTGGAGGAAAGAGGAACACTCGTGCACTGTAGGTGGGACAGCAACCTGGTATAGCCACCGTGGAAAACGTTAAAAAATTAAAAATAGAACTAACAACATGATCCCGAAATCACACTACTGGGTATTTACCCAAAGAATCTGAAAACATTAACTTGGAAAAATATATGCACCCCTGTTTATTGCAGTATTATTTACAATAGCCAAATTATGGAAGTAATCCAAGTGTCCACTGATGGATGAATGGATAAAGAAAAATGTGTGTGTGTGTGTAATATATACATATATGCGTGTGCACACGTGCATGCGTGCAAACACACATAATGGAATATTAGCCATAAAAAATAAAATCTTGTCATTTGGAACAACGTAGACAGATCTACAGAGTATAAAGCTAAGTGAAATAAGTCAGAGAAAGACAAATACCATACATTTCACTCATATGTGAAATTTAAGAAATGAACAAAGGAAAAAATCCCAGACTCTTTAACTATAGAGAACTGATGGTTAGCGGAAGGGGGGAATGGGGGAAATAGGTGAAGGGGATTAAGATTACTTGTCTAGATGAGCACTGAGTAGTGTGTAGAAATAATGAATCACTCTATTATGCACCTGAAACTCATGTAACACTGTATATTAACTATACTGGAATTAAAATGAAAAGAATTCTGTTAGGGACATGCTGCGTTTTAGATGTCTGTTAGATATTAAAGAAGCGATTGAACATAACAAGTTAGATTTGTGGGAGTGCATCAGGACTGGGTACCAGTGGAGTTGGGTAGGTGCAGAGCTGAAGGGACCACGGTGTTTGAAGGGAAGATTTTCAGAGGACATGCAGTTACTGGTGATGCTCAGAGATGATGGGTGAACGTGGAAGTGAACGGTTGAAGTGGGGTGGAAGTGAGTAGTCAAGGAGCAGAGGCCAGATGCTGGAGGGATCATCCCCAAGGACTGAAGTTGTCAAGAATGGTGGCAGGAGTAGAGGCCCAAAAGAAGACTATAAACAAGCCACATGGTCACAAAGGGAGGTGCTTTCTGACAAACATTAGAGATCCTACACTTCCCCCATGACCCCACAAGCTGGGGATGGTGGGGAGGAGAGAGCTAGAGACAGAAGGATATGTGGGCATGACAGCAAGGCATCTGGGGGTGCCTGTCTGTCCCAAGCCCCAGAGTTCCTAGGATGCCATACGGCAGCCAGAGCAGAAGCCAGATGGGAGGCTGGTTGGGAACGTTCCAGCTTCTGGGTACTGCTACTACCAGAAGAGGCCGCTTTGAAGTCATGAAAGTCTGTTAGGACAGGATGTCTATAGAGCTTGTGGGAGGAAAGGGGAGGAAATTCCTGGAGGAAGGCAGATGACGAGGAGGAAGGAGGGGCTGCACCGTCTGAAGAGTCACTGCTCTGCAGGAGGCCTCAGCTGCTGGGAGAGAGCCTGCTGAAAGCTGGCGTCTAAGCCTCCAGCAAAGGGGGAGAGGGCCGCTCTGCTCTGACCCAAGATGTATGCTCAGCCTGTGTATCTAGCTAGCTTCCTCTAGCAGAGTGCCCAGGACATCTTGCTGTGAGCCTCTGCCCACCTCTCCAAGGGCCTGTGGCTTGCAAGAGGTTTTGGCCCCTGGTGGGATGGCAGTGAAGCGTCAGAGAACATTGTTCTCAAGCTTGCCTGAAGCTTCAGGAAAGATTCATCAAGGAAGCAGCAGCAGCACATCAGGCTCTCTCTCACAGAGCTGCCACAGGTGACAGAGAAAGAATTTTCTTGGGAGCCTCTAGGTTCAGACAGATGGTCCCCCGAGACTTTGCAGGAACCAGGCTGGGAGGATGAAGGATGCATGCCAGGAGGAGAAGGAGGCCAAAGGAGACAGAGAAAAGCATGCCCCCACATCACTCGGGACCTGCTTAACAGCTTCCTCTCCCTCCAGCTCAAGATTTTCAGAATGTCTGTATCGTCTCTACTTACCACCGACTTGCGAATGCTGACACGAGGCTTGGGGATGGGCTTGGAGGGTTTGTTTTCAAAGCTTTCTGGAAGTGTAGAGGAATGCCCCCCTTTTCTTGCTTGTAGTGCGAGTTGGTAAGCAACTTCAAATGCCTGTCCCAGCGTTAGGATGATTTCGTAGGCTAGATTCTGCAAGAGAAAAGAGAAAAGCATGTACTCTGTATGGTATACTGCAGGTTGGCCAAGTTGAATAGCCTGAGGAACACTGTGGGAGATGAACTAGCAAGGACCTTGAACTAGTTCACCTGGTGTGGCAGTGACTCAGTGGAAATCTTTGAAGAACAGGAAACCCCAGGTCCAATTTAGAGTCTACATGAGGCATTAGTCAGCAATGTGATGCACTGGCTTACAGCCACGCTAAGGAGCGGACCCCCAGCTTCATCCTCCAGGGAGGAGGCGCACACCCACTGGCCCCAGCAGCCTGTTACCTTCAGAGCCTCCCTCATGGACAGCTGGTCTGCTCCCAGGCCTTGGAAGATAAGGGGTTAGTATGATCCTTCATCTGAGTTCTGGGAGCGCCTCAGCCGTGCTTGTGGGGATGAGCCCACACACTCCACAGGAGGTGTTCCTGGGAAGTTTGGGTCTTTTTACCTTAAACATCTGTGATTCAGTGAACATCTCTAAAGCACAATCAAAATCTAATTTAGGCGGAGGGGAGAGGCATTAGTCATGCTGGTGTGGTGTCTCACAGTTACAGCAGCCAGCATGCAAACAGAGCCAATTATCCATCTATTTCTTGAGGCGCTTGCTCTCCCTGTGGGTCCACTCCATATTTTATCATCAAATCAGCAAGAGAGGAGATTCTGTCAGGCCCAAATGCCATGCCAAGCAGTGACTGGGAGAAGGGTTTTTTTCCTTGAACCTTCAAGCACTCCCTTCAAGACGACTTCTAGCTTTCTTTTCTTTTCTCCAGATATGTATCTTTGATTTCTGCCTTCTCTTCCCAGCACAGCCCCATCTGGTCTTCTGTCACTGAGAAAACATGACGTTGTCTGACCTGAGAGAGACAGGGGCTTGACAATCCCCCTGAGGCCACAGTGCTCCAAATAGGTAGATGCCTGTCAGTCATAGATAGCTTTCTTAAAATCACTGCACCAGCAGAGAGCAGGCGTGGTCTGTCTCAAGTTTTCATTCTGATCAGTGTCCTAGAATGTCTATTCATGGTTTTTCAAAACAGAAATGGCATTCTGCTTATGCTGCTTTTGTGACTATGCCCCCTCTCTCCGGCCCCTCCTCCCCTATCCAGCACACAGAACAGCTTAATTCCCATGATTCTGGGGAGAACTGTTCCCACTTGATGAAGACAGTGAGGAAGATTCAAGAAGGCCTTTGGAGGCCATGTGGAAGAAGCCTGTGGGTTTCTGGACCAACCAGATTTCAGGTCAATGCCAGACTGCTGTGGTCTTAGACCCAAGGAGGGAAAATGCTTCTGAGCTTGAAACCTGTTTTGACAGAGGAGGTATCTTTTCTTTGAGTGACATGTTAAGAAATGATGGCCCCCCAAGACAGGCGTGTGCTTGTTGGAGACACTGAACCTTGAACAGCCAACTGAGCACTTCCTGCAATGAACACTGATCCCATGTTTGCCTCCAAGGATGAGTCAGACTAGTAAATTAGCAGGGCACCAACAAATGATAGTGGAGGAGGGCTGGCAGACAGCTCTGGCCATCACTGCACAAAAAGGGCTGAACCCTTCGACTGCCTACACTTGGCACTCACGTCATCGTCAGCTTTGCTTCCAAGAGCACAGAGGGGAACCCTTCTGAGAGGCAGAATGGGGCTTTTAACTTCTGTAGTCTCCATGTGAGGTCACGGGCTCTTGGTCTTGTTCAGCAGGACAGTGGAGATGGTTGATGTCCCTCTGTCAGGGCTATGTAGCAGATACTCATGCTCTGGGTAGGCACACGGACTAAGGGAAAGATGGCAGATTCAGCGATTCTATAATGTTCAGCTTTTAGATACTGGAGCAGTGGAGCTTAATGAATGTGACTTCCTTTATCATTAACCTAAAAACAAATTCCTGAAAGTGAGATTTACTTAAAGTTCCAATGTCTTCAGAAAGTTGGAGATGCTCATTTGAGCAAGTGAGATTTTTCACATGATTATTATGGGAAGCCGAAAGGTTTTGAAGGTACAGGGTTAGAAGCCCTGCCTTTTCATTTCTAATTAGTTCTTGGTGTTAGGAAACTGCTCGAATAAGACACTGAGACCAGACTGTGCCAAATGGCCTCTCCTGGTTTGGCTTGTGTTCTTTGTGATGTCTTACTTTCCTCCTTATTTTAGAAGGCTTTACAGAGCTTTTTTTTTCTTCTTATAATTACATACAGTAAAGAGTTGGACACTGTTACCTTTCCTATCTCTTCTGTCGCCTCAATGTTTGAGGTATTGATTCTGGAAGCCAGGGAGGGCCCTGGGCATGAGGAGCAGCTGATTCTGATGGGGCTTCTGAATGCTGAGTGCTGTGTTACTGACATACCAGGGCCCCTGAGGGGAACACTCATGATGGGACCTGCACACACATGTTTAGACAGGGAGGATGATTCATTTCTCTTGCCTCTCTCTAGTGACAATCCCCCTATTTAAATGGGAGGACAGTTACTGGGAGGGTAGGAGTCTCTACGAGGACGAGACCAAAAGTTAATACCGCAGTGTAAGAGAGGATTAGGTGACAAGCCTTGTTTCCTCCTTTGAGCCAGGCTTGCTGACCCCAGTGATGCTGGCTGGCACTGCAGAGCTAGAGATGTTGCTCAAAAACCTGAAGGCCCAATTACTGTCTGCTTTCAATGTCTATCTTTGCAACTGAGGGGAGGCCAGTGCCTGAGACTGTGCCTGACATACACGCTCAGTAAATGCATGCTAAATGAATGAATGAATAGCCAAAGGACAAACTAGAGAAAGAGCACTACTATAGTTATACAGTAGTTACACTATATATAGTATAATTGTGTGTGTGTGTGTGTGTATAATAGTTATACTATAGTTACTCTAGGTAGCACAGCTACCATCAAGTAAGGACTTCACAGGTGTTAGGAATTAATTGAGTGTGCCAAGCACTAGGTTTATCTCATTTAAGTACTACCACAGTTATCTGCAAAATATCTTTATCCTTATTTTATAGATGAGGAAATTCAGGCTCAGAGAGGTTAAGTAACTTGCCTGACATCACAGAGCTAGAAAGTTACAGAGCTGTGATGTGAACCAGTATTAGTGACTCAAAGCCCATGTTTTTAACCCTACCCACATATGGTAGCTTATCTCCAAGATGGCTGCCATCCATTCCACTGCCCTGTGTACATGTCATGACCTTCTACTAAGGGGGTGAGTCTGTTTCTCCACCTCCTCAAATCTGGATCGGCTTTACTGACTTTCCCAATTAGCAGAATGTGGCAGAAGTGACATTCTGGGACTTCTGAAATCCAGTTATGAGGAGTCTTGTAGCTTCCATCCAGGCCTCTTGAAACACTTACTTTGAGGGAAGCCAGCTATGTGCAAACATTTGGCCACCCCGAGGTCACCATGCTATGCAAATGTGCAAGCTAGCCAGAGGCAGAGGCTGCCTGGAAAGAAACAGTAGTTGCAGTCATCCCAGCCTGGTCTCCAGATATACAGCAAAGGAGTCATCCTGGACTTTCAGTCTCTAGGAGATGCCATACAGGGAGGACCCAAGACCCCAGATAGATGGCCCTAGTAGAGGGGTTCCAACATCAGCAGTCATCTGAGCCACCCCAGTGGAGGGTATTGCTGAGCAGAAAAGAGCAGAACTGCCGTATTCTGCCCAAACCCCTCACTCATAGAATCATAAACATAATGAAATGGATGTTCTTCTATGGCACTATGTTTTTGGATGGTTGGTTAAACAGCATCAGATAACTGGAACACCATGTGGTGTTAAAGGCGGCTGGCTGGCTCCTCATTCAGGCAGCAGGAAGAACTGCCGGCCTCTGAGCTGGGATGGACAGTACGTAGTTGTGGGGAGTCACTCCTGGAGCCACCACGCCCTCAGCCCTGGCTGTGGGGAAGCTAGCTGATTCCTGCAACCCATCCTGCTCACAGCATCACAGTAAGCACTAAGGGGTCCCTTCACACATGTTAGCCCGAACCATGGAGCTGGACTGTCCTCTTAAGTTGGCACAACCATGTTCTCATCTCTAGTCACTACCTCCCCTGAGCACAAATTCAAACTCCTTTAGCTTTACGTTCACCACCTTACATCTTTCTAGTGATACAACCTGGCCTGTCTGTGATGGGGGCTCCTTCTGCCCCTCCTGGCTTGTTGGAAAACACCTGCCTTGGCTTTTCCAGCATGAGTCTCTTTCTAGAATCACATTTCTAGAATCGACCTTGAGCATGATCTGCCTTACAGACACCACTGGTCAAAGCAGGGAGCCCGTGTGTGTGCGTGCACGTTTGTGCAGGCATGGGGGATGACTGGGAGCAGCATGCTCTGAGCCTTGTTTTTCTTAATATAAGAATGGGGATAATAACGTGCGGTAGTGAAGTCACAGGATTGTTTCGAGAATCACTCATGATTACACTGAACCAACGGCAATTTCAGCCGACATGACTGTCTGAGTGTCATGTACCACAGGACATGCTTCACATGTGCTCTCTCACTGAATCCTAACGACCACCACCACCCTGTAGGGGTTATTAATAACTGTGAGGCTATTATCCCTACTTCACGGGTGAGAGAATTCTGCCCAGAATGGTCAACGTGGTCATGAAGCCAGCACGGCAGAGCTGGGATTTGAATCCAGGTGTTCGTAGGCCCTGCTCTTGACCACTATAATTTAGAACTATACTTAAGGTAAATGACTTCTGAAAACCATTAAAACACACACACACACACACACACACACACACACACAAATAAGCTTAAATACAAAAGCTACTGGGGTGGGTGTCAGTGCATCTTGGCTGGGGTGAGGGTACCTAAAGGTATACAATTTGCTTGGGTCTCAGCCTCCAGGCAAAGGGTGTCCTTTGTGATTTAACGTGATCCATCATCACAAGGATTCTCAACCAGGGGATGTGCCCCTTCCATGATGAGGGATGCCAGGCAACACTCCCTCTCGAGCAGAGGCTCTTTAGGATTAAGGCAGGGAATCCCAAATCAATGGGGGCAACCG